TAGTCATGTTTGGCATTAGGAATCCCTGACTCTAGAATGGTTAGACACTGAAAGTAATACTAAGAAGTACCATATAAGCTTGTCCAGTTCTTACACTCTTCACAAAGCACTTGATCATTAGCAGAAAGGCTACTGGGCTAGATGAACCTTTGGTCTCACCACTCATGGCTGCTTCTGTTCCTGCAAATTGGTACAAAAATTAAGTATTGAGTAGCATGAAGATAAATCAGCTGTTGGATTTGCCTAAAGACAATGTCTAATAATGCATTACATATTATAGTGATGAGGCTTCAAGTCCTGTCCCCACAAATCCCAAACATGACCACTGACAGACATAGTGGTTCTTTCTGTGCCTAAGGGGGCGAACACACTGCAGTGTGTCCCACAGTACTGGTCTAGTGCTTGTTCAGATGGAGGTGTCTGCTGGTGGGTGCTGCATCTGCCTTCCTGCCTGCACTCTTGCTTTTTGCAAAGGAAACCACATATGCAGGAGGGGAAGGGTATCACCTGTGTCTCAACCTGGTATAGAATCAGACTACTCCTGAGAAGTTCACATGGTGTATCTGCTCCAAACTGTCCGCACCAGGCTTTGTGAGGTGATGTAAACACTGCTTGCCACATATGACAACGTGGCCTAGTTGATTAGAAGCCTTCCCTCAGCTGGGAAGTACAGTGTGGATGTAGCCAGAGCCCCTGCTCCCCACAAATAGGCTTGGCACACCTATGAGGGTGTTAATATTTCTCTTTGCATTTATTGATATTTTGGCTTCATTGTACATCTAGATTATACATAATCAATGTGTTGTGCAATTGTGCAAATACTTCCATACATCCAGAACCAATTTTCTTTTAAGTAATGTTATTTTTCAGTTAAATCTCTTCTAAGTAACTGCACTTGCTGAAATTCGCAGCATGATTTTCAGTCAGTGTCTGCCTCTAGGACTGATAATGATCAATATTTATAGTTAGTGCTGGAGAATGGTCTGAAGAAAGCCTCTTGTTTTTACTAACTCCTATAGAAACCAAGGTCACTGTTTGGTTCTGCTAAACTTGTACACTGAAAACAGAAGTGAGTAAAAGGGTCACATCTGTGACCCTCCTGTGGAGAAGAGTGTGTCAGACAGGTGACCAAAATTGACTAAACAAATTATCCCATCCTGTATATTTCGTACTTGGCATAAAGCTCAGAGGTCACAAGAGTCAAGCTTTCTTTGTCCATGGCTGGTGTTTTGGGAGAACTCTGACCAGTCAGCTGCCTTTGATCCTGATGTGTTCATTTCTGAATCTGTGCATTCTGAACCTGTGCATTCCTGAATCTGTGCATTCCTGAATCTAACCCACACCTGCTGCTGACTCCAGGAGCCCCCTCTGAGACTTTCCCAGGGCTGCTCTGCAGCCTTGATGGTGATGGGAGTGTTATTGAGGAGTAGAGCAATACTGATTCTGTGGATATCTGTATATATTTCACTATTTTCTTCTTCATCATCATTGTTTTGTTAAAGCTGTGTAGTTTAGTTTCCAACCCTTAAAACCTGTGCATTCCTGAATCTGTGCATTCCTGAATCTAACCCACACCTGCTGCTGACTCCAGGAGCCCCCTCTGAGACTTTCCCAGGGCTGCTCTGCAGCCTTGATGGTGATGGGAGTGTTATTGAGGAGTAGAGCAATACTGATTCTGTGGATATCTGTATATATTTCACTATTTTCTTCTTCATCATCATATTTTGTTAAAGCTGTGTAGTTTAGTTTCCAACCCTTAAGTCTCTCTTCCCTTAGTCTCTTTCCTTTTTCTATAGGGGTGGGGGGAGGGGTTAATAGGGGTTAATCTGCCACTTGTGTAATTGTCTGCTCAGTGTTAAATCTTTACAATCCCCTAGAAAGACACTGTCTTGCAATGTTAAGCTGGTGAGTGACTGTGCTGCTGCATATTATCACTTCCTGCAAGTCATCTCAGCAGAGTCGTTACAGCACAACGGATTTTGGGCCAAGCCTTAGCCCAGCATTGTGTCCCTGTGCCAATCTAGTGAGGCAGCCATTCACATCAGTAATGCTCTGCCAGAGACTGGTATCAATCAATGTACTGTACGTAGCAGATACAGGATTGGTCCTATTTATATTTGCCATAGTTTTTAACTAAAGTGCTAACAAACCACCATCATAATATCAAACTCATGTTCCAGAAACTCCTTCCTGCGTGTAAGAACAGAGTGTTATAATAATCATAACAACATTCAATAATGCATAAATAATCTTGACCTATTTTTTTATAAGCTAAATTTTGCCACTGTTTCTATAAATAGCTCCTTCTCTAAGAATGGTCCTCTTTGGTTCCATTTTCAGGTTTGTTTTTTATATACTACCGACAGAAAAAAATTTGACTCAACAGGCACAGGAATATAATTGGCAAGAAACTTAAGATCATTAGAAAAGAAATAACTCCAGATTTGCTATCAAGATAGAATTTCTCTAAAGCTCATATACGCTGAAAAATGAAATGTGACTGACATGAAGAAATAATTGTGGTTTTCATAGTTCCTGCACCTTCAGACACTGTAGTTTTGTGGAAGGGTCCTTTACACGTAGAAATGCTTTTTCTACACATGTGACATGGCTGCTTGGAGTCCTGTAGATCCTGTGTTGTTGGATGGACACCTAACTTTTGGGAATTCCACTCAGTACAACATAATGTATTTCAGCCTACGGGCCTGAAATCAGTATGAAGATATTACATTGCTTTCATTGCTTTGGATCAGCTCTCCTTGTTAATCATCATCTGACTAAACCAGGACTACCCATGCAAGAGTTTGCAGGATTGGCTTTACACAGCTTTTGTGGTACTAACCCTTTGAAAACTGCTGCTGTCAAATGCTGTTCCCAGACAACATGGAATAATTCAGTGAGAAATGAGGGATGAATGCCAGATGACATAAACATAAACTATCAATGATTTTTTTATTCCACTCTTCAAAACGTGCTGATTGCAAAAAGATGTATGGGATTGGTGAAAATGTGGAAAATGCAGTTTGCTGGATTATTCTGTACACCAAAAAAAATCTGTATAGAACCAAGACGTGTCTTCAGTTAATCTTTTAATTGCCAAAGGCAATTCATAGGGCCTCTTTAATTGCCTTCTCTCCCAAAACTCATGGGCTGCAAAACCTGGCATGTTTTCTGTTCTGCCAATTAGACAGAGACTTGCAGAACCTTCATGTTGTGACTAGCAATATCATCTCATGTTACACGGAAGGTACAACATTTATTAATGCTAGACGAATATTGTGCTGCCAAATTATACCCTAATTGAAGTACAATTCTTGCTATGTCAAAGTTCAAGCATGAGTTTTTCCCATTTGGCACATTTATATCAAGAGAACTGAATATAAAAGCTACCATTCTGACCTGACAGCATCTTACACGGGCAGAAAGGGCTAAGGTAAGCTTATTATAGCAATACTGGAAATTACAATGGAAATGAAAATCAGATGCTTTTATCAGACATCTAAGTCTAACCTGAGCAGAATAAGGGGAAAAGCAGTGAAAGTGGGCAGGAAAATTACTTTTCATATTCCTAACAAAATTTTAAAACTTAATTTTTCTCCTGTCATTTTACTCTTCTTAATCATCTCACTGAAACAGGTCTTCTCACATGTTTGAAAAACCTTTTCTATTAAACCCCTGGACCCCTGACCCTCTACAATCTGGTATTGTTTCAGATCAGCAGG